CTCCTCCTCCCCGCTCACCAGTCTCTCCTTGTCCTTCCTCCTCTTCCTTGTTCTTCTCCTTCCTCCTCTCCTTGTTCTTCTTCCTTCTCTTCCTTCTCCTTGTTCTTCTGCCGCCTCCTCCTTGCCCTTCCTCATTCGTCTTCCTCGTTCTTATCACCTCTATATATCGTTATCTTCATTTTTACACACACACACAGTATAATTGAAATATTGCTCCATGTAATTTTATAACGAGACTCAATTACGCTTTTACATTGTGGGAGATATAAAGTATTTTTTTTTAGAAATTGGGTAGTTATTTTGCAGTGAATTTAGCATAGTGAGAAGGCCTAGCGTCACACTATATGACACACACTCATACGCACAACCTAAGTACTGTTTTTAGCTGATTTAACAAGTGTAGTGTAGAACATTACCGTAGACAGACAGACAGACAGACACACACACACACAGACAGACAGACAGACAGACAGACACACAGACAGACAGACAGACTCAATGGTACCTCCACTAGCCACTAACCATCCATAACCACTTCTTTAACACAAAACACTCCGTTATCGACGTTCTCTCTCTCTCTCTCTCGCGCCTCTGTACTACACTACACTACACTACAACCACTACACTAAAATCACCACTACACCACGCTACACCACACTACACTACAACACAATCACCACTACACTACACACCACGAGACATCAGGTATAAACTATAAACCACTCTTGTTAATTTGTGAGAATCCGGTGATTAGTGATTGAAGGTAAAAAGGTGATGGCGGTGTTATTAACACCTGTACAGTAACGCGCCATAACACCTGTACAGTAACGCGCCATAACACCTGTACAGTAACGCGCCATAACACCTGTACAGTAACGTAACGTAACACCTACTTAAGGGTGTGTAAAGTTCACCAGTTTCCAGGACCGTCAGCCATACATTATGATCTGTGTAATTATTATCGTCCTTAGTTCCGGTTTACGTTTCTTTGTGTTGGTTTTATATACGGGTTGTGATGGAGTTTTGTGGTGGGTTTAATGTCATTTATGTGTTGTTATTATTGTTGTTCTTGTTTTTATTATTATTATTATTATTATTATTATTATTATTATTATTATTTTTATTATGTTTGTTTATCGTTGTTGTTTTTGTTGTCATTAGAAATTACTTCACAATCACTAAACAATATTGAACAAGTTGTTACCTTCATTGTAGTTATTACTAAACTAGGGAATGTGCCAAGACCTCCCTGTCCGTCTCGTAACTGTGCCAAGACCTCCCTGTCCGTCTCGTAACTGTGCCAAGACCTCCCTGTCCGCCTCATCAACTGGCTGGAACCTCCTGTCCGTCTCGTAACTGTGCCAAGACCTCCCTGTCCGTCTCATGCTGTGCCAGTTCTCCCTGTCAAATCTCGTAGCTGTACGAAGACCTCCCTGTCCGTCTCGTAACTGTGCCAAGACCTCCCTGTCCGTCTCGTAACTGTGCCAAGACCTCCCTGTCCGCCTCGTAACTCCTGAAGGGATCACCGACTGTCCTGGCACGGGCTCTGGTGACCCCCAAGACTTCGGGTGAGTTCCATAATATAAGGCTGATCCGTTTATTTTACCCAAGGGAATTGAGATCGTTCGGGGATATATGAAGAGTTCGACTTTGGGGGACACGTACACGAGGCCTTGGACGGCGGCAGTGTTGTGTCCCCTCGGTGTTATTTTACCGCTGGAGACAGACACATTTATATTTTTTATTATTGTTTTAGCGTCAGGAGAAGAATAATAATGGGAGGCGTCAGTTGCGGGAAGGTTACGTCAGCACAGCGTCAACATTTGGTCAGCATCACCAACATTGACACACGTCAGCCAGCCATTGTCAGGGGCCTTGTTGATGACGGACACCCACGCCTGTGATCATTATTATGGCGCTGCATTAGGCCCTCAGGTGTCCCGCGTCCTTTGTGGGGAAGAATCCCTAATGGCTGGTGAGGTAAATTTCTCGTATAACTGGAAAACTGGTTTAGCCTGCCTCTGTCCCCCAACACCAGGGAGATGGGTAGGTGGGTGGGTCCGTATCGCAGTGTGTGTTGTACCTATGGGGCCTAGACAGGGTCGGGGGAGGGTATTAATATAGGTGTCTTGGCATGATGATGGACGGCAGGTGACGCTTTAAAGACGCAGTGAAGGTGGGGGTGGGGGCAGACTCACACTTCCTGCACCACACCATGTTGGACACACCCACACGGAGTAACAAAGACGCGCATCACTCCTATCTTTTTTTTTTAATTTCCTCTCCCATTATAAACAATTAACCAAATACCCCCTACAATATGCCGTACAGGAAGCCGCCATAGGTATCGACATTGACACATACTCGACGTGGTGAAGAGAGAGAGGGGGTCAGGTGAGTTGATTACAGCGACCCGGCCTCCCGTCTCCCCTCCACCTGGCGCTCCTGAGAGCACTGGAGGCCAATCATCATTAACCTGGTCCAGGTCCCCCCTCCCTCTCCCTTTCCCATCCTCCCTCCCACCTCCCTCCTCCTTTTCATCCTTCAACCATTCTTCTCCCTGTCCCCCTTCCCCACCAACCCCCCCTCCTGCACCAACCCTCCACACCTACCTCCCGGCCAAGGCAACACATTCTAATCAGACATCTTGCGGGGCATGACAACCTTAATCCAACTCCAACTCTAACTCCAACCCAGCCCAACCCAGCCTCTGGAATCCCAGCCTAAACCCAGCCCAACTCAACCTAACCCAACTCCAACCTAACCTAACCTAACCCAACTCAACCTAACCTAACCTAACCCAACTCAACCCCAACTCCAACCCAACCTAACCTAACCCAATCCCAACTCAACTCAGTCCTGAACCAGCCGCCATAACCCAGCCCATCCCAGCCCACCCAGCCCAACCCAACTTAAAACCCCAACCTAACCTAACCTTGAACCGTAAACAAACATTTAGTGAGGTTACAGTGAAACTTCTGGTTCAATCATACCATAATTGGATCCTGCTAGGAGGAATGTGCTGGTGTCACCCTTAACCATCCTCCCTACTCTAGTGCCCTAACACCCTCCCTCCTCCCCTCCCCCCATGACCCGTTTTCATGACTTTTCTTTATTTTCAACCATAGTTTCCTCGTTTTTCAGTCTTCCAGTTCTTGTGGATGACATTCTCCTTTCCTCTCTCTCTCTTGGTGTATTGTGTCTGTCTTCCTCCCCTTCCCTCCCCCCCCTCACGTTCACTTAAGAGAACTATCAAAATAATCAGAGATAAGGCAATAATAACAACAATAAGAGTGATGTAGGGGCGTCATCCATTGCACATACACTTTCCTTGTTTCGCTGTTACTTGAGGTGCAGGAAATGACGGTGTTAATGTGACGGTGTTAATGTGACGGTGTTCCTTGTGACGTGGTGAAATGTGACGGTGTTAATGTGACGGTGTTAATGTGACGGTGTTCCTTGTGACGTGGTGTTAATGTGATGTGACGGTGTTTAATGTGACGGTGTTAATTTGACGGGTGACGAGAGTGTGTGTGACGGAGTGCTCTATATATCCTGAAATGTGTCGTGCTGTGCTGTGCTGTGCTGTGCTGTGCTGTGCTGTGCTGTGCTGTGCTGTGTTGTGTCTATGGGTGATTTTGTTGTGTTATTCTATGTGGTGAATAATTTTGGATGCGTCTTAGTGTATAATTTCATGTATACTGGTGTATGAATTTACGAGGTGTTCTAATGTATGATTTTAATGTATAATTATATGTATGGTAAGAACAACCCCCCCCTCCCCATATTATTCTCTCCCTTCTTCCTCTTCTCCCTCTTCCTCTCTCTTCCATATAGACAGGGTGGTCACGTGACAGAGGGAGGGAGGCAGGGGAGGAGAGGAGACCTGGGAAAGGTAAATATGTTTTGGTATGGAGCGTCGGTATTATCACCCTTACTACTACTACTACTACTATTACTACTACTACTACTACTACTACTACTACCACTCTTCATTATTCAGTGGTCGGTGCATTTTGTCTCCCCTGTACCACTGAGGGCTGCCACAGTCAGATGCTCAAGACTTCATTGGGTCATTTGTATCAACGTTATTAGCGGCTTTAATCACCTTCCTCAAACTGGCTGGCCCACTGAGAGAATTTTTCCCTCACTGAGAGAATTTGACTGGTGTACTGAGAGAATTTGACTGGTGTACTGAGAGAATTTGACTGGTGTACTGAGAGAATTTGACTGACCCACTGTAAACACCGTGGGCATTTTGCTAACATTGAAACATCTTGCAAACAGTAAACATTGCAATACACATTCTTGCAGGAGTGTTTGCAGAGGAGACAGAAAGCGTTGGTGAAGTGTGTGTGCTTGTGTGTGTGTGTGTGTGTGTGTGTGTGTGTGTGTGTGTGTGTGTGGTAGGGAGGTTGAGAGGTGAATATAGGCTTCACTGTACCAATACACCCTGCTGGTTATTGTACACACACACACACACCAAATTAATATCCATAAAAACATAATTAACGCCATTTTTTTTATAACGAAACATAATCCGACTTTATATTCGTAAAGTTAGTGAGTTTGTGAGAAAATGAACGTTGTGTGGGGTGGGAGCTGGAGGAAGTACTGTGGGGAGAGGCCAGGATGAGGTTATTGGGAAGACTCCATAAAACATTCATCAGTATTGATCAGTGTTACAGTGCAGCCTGTGCTAGGTAGCAGGCAGTGTAGGTATGTGTGGTGGCAGTGTATGTATGTGGTGGTGCAGTGTATGTATGTGGTGGTGGCAGTGTATGTATGTGGTGGTGGCAGTGTAGGTATGTGGTGGTGGCAGTGGTATGTATGTGGTGTGGTGTGGTGTGTGTAGTTCAGGACACGTGTTAGTGGCGGTGACCCAGGATACATAAAGCAGTGTCAGTGGGGGGCCATACATAAATATCATGTCGTCGTCGTCTTGGTTATGTTCAGTTCTCTTAAACACGTACTAACGCGTCCTTTTCTCTCGGCAGGATCTGATGGCGGCGTGACGCGTGCCTGTGGGCTGCCAGGAAGCCCTCCTACACCCCCTTCACCTCCATCAGCGGGAATCTGAGAGGGTCTCAGTCATGGAGGAGGACTGGGCTGGTGTGTGGTGGGCGTCGCGTACAGACGACAGGGCCAGGAAGGCGACGCACCACACTCTCGCTGCCCCCCACCACACTCCTGCCACACTCCACCGCCCTAGACACTGTCGCTCTACGCTGTCACACCTTCACACCTCCACCAACTGTCCTTTACTGACGAACTATACACGGAGTGGTGGACATATACTGGAACAGAGTGTAAGTGATTTTAATAAGAGTGGCGAGTGGAGAACTAATGTGAAGCAGAGTGAAGAGAACATGTCACTCTGGCCTCGAGTGCGTCACTGGTCACTAGGTAGAAATAACTCTTGTAATAACTGGCGGTGGACAGGTGGCCTCAAGTTATGGCGGCCAATATGGACGACACTGGTGGTGTGCTTGTCCCTCCTGCTGCTGCCGTCTGCCGCGTCTGCCCAAGGTGAGTGTCTTCCCGTTGTTTGAACTGTCACTTTAGGTTAAGTTGGGTTAGGTTAGGTTTCGGAAGGCGGCTGCTGCCGGAAGAAAGATTTGTGGAAAAGTTTGGATCGTGAGGGAAGGTTCGTGGCGGTGAACGTTGCCTTCCGGGTATTGTGTGGGTGTGCTCACCTGGGCGACACCTGCCCTCCACACACACCAGGAAGTTGTCGGCATTGTCTCCTGCCCCTTCAGGAACACTGCCGCCGGGGCCTGCAGTCACCCGCCGGATTTCCTCGAAAACTTATCTCATCATTGCTACTCACCGAGGCAGTTGTGGTCTGACGTTAACAAGTTCCTTATCAAAGGTCGTGGCGGATTGTCTGCTTTAAACTGTCTCAAGTGTATGTGAGGTATATAGTGTGACGTCACCACCTGCAGCCTCCCCTTCACCCACCTCTCTCCCTCACCCACCTCTCTCCCTCACCCACCTCTCTCCCTCGCACGCGTCTTCCCCACACTTACGACACCTGAGTTATATCCTGCCTTTATCACAGACCTTCACTCAGAACATTCACCGGAGCTGGGTTTTTAACACCAACTCTTTTTGTAATTTATTGAGAGGAAAACTTCGTCAGTATTCACACCACCACACGCAGGAGGAGGAACTGACGGCTGTGTTGGCGACCTGCTCCTAACGTCAAAATGGTCCGTGTTATTGCCTCGAAATAGTTGTTTGTATTGTAATTTGAAAAGACCTGATGGCATAGTTAGCGTTTTAAATGTGTTTTCTTGTGCCATCCAACCCAACCCAACCCAACCCAACCTAACCTAACCTAACCTAACCTAACCTAACCCAACCCAGCCCAGTCAGTCCGGGTGTTTGTCTGTGGTTACGTCCCTTTCTCATCTCATGGCGCCATCATCGGTAGTAGCAGTGGATGACTCCCAACCATAAACTGGCTACACAGGTTTATAAACACACAAGGAAACTATTTATCCGTAATGAGGTCAGGTGTCAAGGTCAGTGTTGCTTGAAAAATAACACACACACACACACACACACACACACAGGCTGATTGATTATAACGTGACAGTACGAAAGGTTTTGTCGTGTCCTCAGTTCTCCTCCTCCTCCTTATTCCTCCTCCTCCATTTCCTTCTTCTTCTTCTCCACTTTTTATTCTTCTTTCTCCTCCTCTTCCTCTATTCGTAATTATTCTTCCTCCTCTACCTTCTTCCTCATCCTCCCCTTGCCTCCTGTTCTTCTCTTTATTCTTTCTTCTACGTCCCCCTTATTGGTTGTTCTCTTCCTCCTCCTGTTCTTCCTCCTCCTCTCAGTCTATTCCTCTTCCTAATCCTTACCATCTCATTCTCCTCCTCCTCCTCTTCCTCCTCCTCTTCGTCCTCCTCACCATCTTCTTATCTTTATCCCTCTCCTCACCTCCCCCCTCCCCCCTGCTGACGATGGCGTGTCAGGTAATCTGTTGTGGTCAAGTTAAGGGAGAGCGCTGGTAATGGCCGCTGATATGATCATAATACACTATTTTATCAGGTCGCGTGGCGCCCTCTTGTTTCCCAGCCCTGCCCTGCCACACCCCACCCTGCCCCGCCCCACCCCACCCCACCCCACCTCACCCCACCTCCACCCCCACCCCACCCCACCCACTCCCACCCCACTGCACCCCACCCCACCCCGACTCACCCCACCCCACCCCACAATAGCTTTTAGGATGGTTAATCTTCAGGTGAAATAAGGGGGTGGATATTATTCAGGTGATGCAACTAATTAATTATCTACCTGACGTAATTATATAGAGCCATAGTTGTGAGAGACGGCAGCCCGTTACCTCACCTGTGTAGGGAGTCACGACCTCTTGATGACGTCACGTAGAGAGAGAGAGAGAGAGAGAGAGAGAGAGATGAAGTAATGTGTCGATGGTCGGACATTGAACTGATAGGTCAATTAGAAATTATTATCGGTCGGTTCACTGGCTGGCTCTCTGGCAACTGGTGTTTTGGTGAGGGATAACGGGCACAAATATTCTTACTAACAGAAGCACTAAGTAAAATAATTGATAACTAATAACACTGAATAATTACAAGTGTTATAGTGTTATTTATTTAGCGTGGTTAGGTTAGGTGAGGTGAGGTGAGGTTAAGTTAGGTGAAATAAGCTGTAGTGGAGATTATTCAGGTGGTCTAAAATAAATTATATAAAGTAAACAACAGATAGCTTGTAGATTAATATGTCAGAAATAAAATAAAAGTGTAAATAAAATATACTTAGTGAAAAAAATTAAGTTACGAAGACAAAATAAATAAAATAAGTCATGGTGATGTAGGTTCGAGGCTAAACTTTTTGTAAGGGTTAAAGCAACATCTCTCTCTCTACCCCCCTTCATAACACCTTCCCATGATCAGCCTTCCATTTAAGAGCCAATCAGAATCGAACAAAAAAAAATGGTAATCAAGTGTTGCTATGATTGGTGTTGTGCTGTCGTGTGTCGGTTCTCGTTATCACCGAACGCCTGCTCACGTCTGCCCACACCCACCATTTTCCATTCATCCATGTTAATACCCACCGTTTGCTCAGCACCCACCGCCCTCACCCACGCTCATTCACCACCCGCCCGCCCGCTTTGGCTGGCTACAGAAACTCACAGTAAAGGCTGAAAACACCGTGTGTACAATAATAATAATAATAATAATTAACGGTTTATTGAAAGAGCTTGGCAGCCAGAAGGCTGAAAATATACAGTTACATATTTGGGGAATGGGTTACGAATTACAAATAATATACAAGTGACACAAATAAGACATATAATAACTTAGATGGGGATCAGCTCAAACTACAGTTCATTTCAACATAGTGACAGTGTAGGGAGCAGTGTTTACTGGGAGTGAATACACTGATTTATTACACTGATTTATTACATGTGTGTGTGTGTGTGTGTGTTAATGTATAGGTCCTTCGGCACACCTGTTGTATATCTGCTATAATAAACTCTCTACCTCTCTCTCTAGCTGTATACTGTCAGCCAGCAGTCAGCCACAGCCGTCAGCCAGTCGTCAGCTCTGTTCACTGGCAGGCCGGGGCGGTGACCTCACGACCGGCCATATTTTATTTTCCAATATTCCTGTTTGTTTTGTTCTCGTGGTGTAATGTTTGATGAGGTGGTGGGTGGTGGGCGGCAGGGGTGGTGGTGGGTGGCAGGGGTGGTGGTGGGTGGTGGGGCAGGGGTGGTGGGTGGTGCAGGGGTAGGGGTGTGTGTGGGCGGCAGGGGTGGTGATGGGTGGCAGGTGGTGGTGGGCGGCAGGGGTGGTAGGGGCAGGTGGGTGGTGGTGGGCAGGGGTGGTGTGGGCGTGCAGGGGTGGCGGTGGGTGGGCAGGAGGTGGTAGTGGGAGTGTGGGGTGGCAGGGGTGGTGGGGTGGTGGGGCGGCAGGTGGTGGTAGTGATTAGGTGGCAAGGGTGGTGGTAGTGAGTGTGGAGTGCAGGGTGGTGGTAGTGATTGTGGGCGGCAGGGGTGGTGGTGGGTGGCAGTGTAAGGCCTTGGTCGTGGTAGGTCACTGGAGGTCACCACCACCACCCGCAGGCCATCACTCCTTACACGCCGCCCACCGCCCACCACCACGCCACCCACTACGCAGCCCACCACGCCGCCCTTCTACACATAATGAGGAGGAGGGAAGGGAATAAGGAGGAATAGAAGATGACGGAGAGGAAATGGAGGAGGAAAACAAGGAGAAGAATGAGAAGGAGGAGGAGGAGGAGGAGGAGGAGGAAGGGCAATGACACGAAGAAACGGAAACAGGAGAAGACGGGAGGAAGGGGGAGGAGGAGGAGGAGTAGGAGGAGGAGGAGATGAAGGGAGGAAGAGGAGGAAGAGCCCGTTCATGACTTGCTTCAGTGACCTCGTGCGGGGGACTGACCTCAGCGCTGCCCTTCAAGTCCCCTTTATTTTACTGATCCGTAGGAGAGAGAGAGAGAGAGAGAGAGAGAGAGACGAATTATCTATCTCTCCTCTTCTCCCTCTCTCTCTCCTCCCTCACTCTCCCTCATTCTCTTTTCTCCCTGTCTCTCACCTCCCCACTTGGACCTTTAGGGGTTAGCGAAGGAAGGGGGGAGATGGTAGAGGAGGAAGCAAGTGGATAACGAGGGTACATCGGTAAGGAAGTGCCTCCCCCCTCAGTTCCCCCTTCCTCCCCCTCCTCTCCCAGTCCTCCCTCCCCTGTTATCTTCACCCTTCACTGAGTCCACCCTCACCCTCACCCCCACCTCCTCCCCCTCCCCACCCCCACCTCCCTCCCCACCACACTCACAAATATTTCGTCTTCGTGACAAATCAACACACACACACACACACACTGCTCCCAATCTGGAATCCCTAATCCCCACAATGAGAGAGAGAGAGAGAGAGAGAGAGAGAGAGAGAGAGAGAGAGAGTCGAAATTTGATCAGCGATACATTGTGGCTTTTTCGGGGCTGAGGGAGGAAGGGGGGTGAGGGAGGAGAAGGATACATGACAAAGGGAGAGAGCAGGACAGTGGATAGGCAGGAATAGGAGAGTAGGAGGGGGACAAACCTGCACCCCTCCTCCCTCCTCTCTATCCCCTATTCTTCTTCTCCTTTCTCCTCCTCCATCCACACTCTCGATCTTCTTCTCTCCTTCCTCTTCCAATCTCTTCCCTTCCTTTTCTCCCTTCCACTTCTCGTCTCCCTGCCTCCTTCTCCCTCTTTCATTTTCTTTCTCCAACTCTTCCCTCTCCTTCCTGCCCTCCCTTCCTCCCCCTCCTCTCCCCCCTCACCCTCCCTCCTCTCCTCCCCCATCCGCCCCCCCCACCTCCTCCCTCCCTTCCTCCCCCCTCCCCATCCCCCTCCCTCCCCACCCTCCCTCCCCATCCCTCTCCTCCCTCCCATCCCCCTCCTCTTTCCCTCCCTCCCCTTCCTCCATCATCTCCTAAAATGACTGGACTCTGACTGTCGTGACTGGAACAAGAAGACTGGCACTTCTCCCTGAATAC